TCTCTCTCTCTCTCTTCCTTTGATTTCTCTTTTATCCCTTTCGCTCTCTCTCTCTCTCTCTTTTATTCTTTTCTCTCTTTCTCGTCCACTCTCTCGTTCTCTCCCTCTCTTTCTCGTTCTCTCTCACTCACTCTCACTCTCTCTCTCTCTCTCCGCATAATCTCTTTTGCACACATTCTTCTCTCTCTCTCTCTCTCTCTCTCTCTCTCTCCGTGTGTCTGTCAGTGTGAGTCGATGCACACGATTCATTCTACCGTGTGTTTCTTTTTAACACGTGAATGAGCCAAACGCACCGAAGACAAACGCTGAGCAAAAGCCGAAGGGGCGAAAGAAAAAAAAGTTGGTGCAACTTCAGAAGGGCTTTGAAACTCTCACACTCTCCATCCCCGGGGAGAGGAGTGTGGGGGGGGTTTGGTTCCGGAGAGAGAGAAAAAAGAGAGTAAGAAATAAAAGATAGACCGAGAGGCGGAAGAGTAGAAAGGTAATGGTAATTAAAAGTTAAATCTAATCCGTCCCCCACACCCCCCCAATGTTAGAGAGAGAGAGAGAGAGAGAGGGAATGGAATTTTTAATCCGGTTTATTTAATTTAACTCATAAACAGGTTCGGCAAATCTGGTTTATACAACATGCACTTTCGGTGTTGGTTTTCGGGAGAGGGGGAAAGAGGGAGAGAGAGGGGCGGGGGGGAGAAGAGAGTGGGGAGAGGGGAGGAAGGGAAGAAGGGGGGAGAAAGAGAGAGAGAGAGAGAGGGCGAGAGGGAGGAAAAGTGTAGAGGAGAAGAGGGGCCGGGGAGGGAGAGAGAGCGATGGGACGGGCGGGGGGGGGGGTGGGGGTGAGGCAGAGCAGCGCGAGAGAGAACGGGAGGGGGTGGGGGGGGAGGACGAGAAGGATGAAGGGAAGATGGGAGAGAGGGGAAAGGAGGGGGGGGAGAGAGAGAGAGAGGGAATGAGAGAGAGAGAGAGGGAGAGGGGGAAATGGAGGGAGAGGGAAAGGGGGGGAGAAAAGGGAGAGGAGGGAAGAGGGAAAGGGGGAAGGGAAGAAGCGAGAGAGAGAGAGGGGGAAAAAAGGTAGAGAAGGGGAAAGGGGGAAATGGCGGTGATGGAGAGGTCCTCTCCCACTCCCACCCCACCGCCCGCCACCGCCCGCCCAGCCTCACCCGGCCTTGCCCCCCAGCTCGGACCGCTCCGGGTCCTGCTCGGGTTCCCCGCTGGTGTCCAGCTCGTAGTGGGGGGGGAGGCGGGTGCGGCCGGGGGCGTTGTAGCGCTCGATGACCTCCAGGCGCCCGTCGGTGTGCAGCACCTCCTGGAAGGTGGGTCGGCTGACCGCCTGGTACAGCCGCTCCTTGATCTTGCGGGCGAGCTCCAGGCTGCACTTGCGGGTCGGCCGGGAAGCCGTGTTGGTCAGGGCTTTGCCCACCACGGCGCTGAACAGCCTCCGGTACTCCTCGGGGGTCAGCCGGTGTATCCTCAGGGGCTGGTCCTCCCCGCACACTCCCCCCGGGCGGCTTTCCTCCGGTCTCTGCTCGCTGGCGTCCGGCTGGTTCCACGGCGACCCTTCCTTGTCCTAAAGCGTGTGCGTGCGCGGCGGGCGCGGGCGGGCGCGGGCGGGCGCGGACGCGTGAGTGACGTGGGCGCGCGCGCGTGTGGGTGCGTGCGCGTGTGCACAGGCGCGTGCGTGCGTGAGCGGTATGGATGGATGAGCGCGCGTGCGAGTGTGAGCGAGTGCGCGCGTGAGTGTGCGCGCGCGCGTGTGTGTGTGCGTGCGTGTGCGTGTGTGTGCGCGTGTGTGTGTGTGTGTGGGTGGGGAGGGGGAGGGGGAGGGGGGGGAGACACACCAGACGTTATTTATTACTGCCAGTAATTAATTAGTAATTGATCATTTAATGGGGTCAATGGGAATCCTGTAGCTCAGTGGTCAGAGCCCTCGCCTCGCAAGCTGGAGGACCTTCACGCGCACACGCAGGCGCACACGCGTGATCGCGCCCGCGCCCGCCTCTGTTTACCGGGCGGTAAGAAGGAACTTGGTCCCTCGAAAGAAAAATAATAATTCGGGTCCCCTCAAAGCCGCGACTGATGGCGGGGACGCCGCCGCGTGCGATTGGCTTCCCCTTTCGTCGCCCACAAACCACACAGTCACTCCACTTCCCGTGAAGCACTTCGCGACGTCGCGGAGGATCACTGTTGTCGTTCCCCTCCCCCCCCCCCACCCCCCACCACCCACCCACCGGAGGAAATGGTTCCTCTGGGGCTCGTCCTCAACGAGATGACCGCCCCCCCACCCACCCCCCCTCCCCCCCCACACCCTCAGCCTTCCAACCTGCCCTCGTAATTTAACCCTTCAAGGCCTGGCGTCATTCCGGCGCGTCCGCGCGGCCGAATCCGCGCGCTCGAAACTCACGGGAACGACGCACCACTCACCTTGCGGTAACGGAAGGCGGGCAGGTGATCCCCGGGCTCTGCCGGCTCCCTCTTGCCCGCTTGCTGAAGTCCCACCACCAAATCCACGGCCTCGTCCACCTCGATCCGGGCCTGGGCTCGGGCGCGGGTGCGTTGGCGTGTGGATCTGAGCGCCGCCGCCCCGCAGCTCCAGCGCGTGGCGCTCAACACCCGCCTTGCCGCCCCAACCCCAACCCCAACCCCGGCCCCAACGCCCTTGGCTCTCTTGACAGCCCGGCGGCTACAGTAATTGTGTTCGATGGTGATGATGTCCGACACGGGGAATTGGCCCATCAGCCTGGCCCGGCCTCCTGGACCCCGCAAGTGCCCGGTCACCAGGCAGGAGGCACGGTCAGCCTGGATCAGACCGTGGTAAAGACCCGGGCTGGGACGGACTGGGACGTAACCCCCGTTTCCCCCTCCCGCCCCCCCTACCGCTCCCCCTCCTCCGCCTTCGCTCTGACCCAGGTGGAATCCGTCCCGCTCGCTCCGTGGGGTCAAGTCCTTCAACGGCGCTTTGTTTCCGAACACCTGCGGAGAAGGGGGGGAAGGTGGGAGAGAAAGAGAGAGAGAGAGAGAGAGAGAGAGGGGGGTGGGTTACGAGGAACACACAGACTGTTCTGTGTGCTACAGACTGTTCCATTGCCTCTCTTATTCCTTCCCCTTCTACCCTCCTCTTCCCCCGTCTCTCTCTCTCTCTCTCTCTCGCGCTGCCCTTAATAATAATAATAATAATACTAATAATTGTTGCATTCGATCCATGCGCCTTATCACGTGGTCGAGACATCCCAAAGCCCTTCGCAGGATATACTGTAAAGTGCAGTGACTGTGTCTTTTGTGGGCAGAGATGGCAATGTGCGTGCGTTTGTGTGGAGTAATGGAAACGTGCCGAAGCATCCGCCCCAACCCGCCCGGGAATCGAATCACACCCGGGTCCTCTCGCTTGTGAGCTAACCGCTACCCTACGGGACACCACATTGCCTCTCCACCCAACTCCTGCCCAACTATCTCCTTCCAATTGCCTCTCTCCCATTGCCCCTCCTAATTGCCGTGCCTCTTCCCCCTCCCTCTTCCCCTGGCTCGGGGCGGCGGGGGCGGGCGGGAGGGGGGGGGGTCAGACCCCGCCACTGTCCAGTGCTCCGGGCCGCCACCACTCTTGCGCGAAGGGCGTTAACGTTGTCGTCGACGTCTCGAAGCGCGCTCACCATTCTGTGCGAGATTTCCCAGCGGGCGCGAGAGCGGGCGCGCGGATACCGGGGGCTGCCTGTCTCGTTCGCGTCGAGCCGAGCCGATCCGAGCCGAGCCGAGCCGAGCCGTCCAGAGGGGAAATATTGGGCTTTTTTTTTTTTCTGGACAAACTGCGCGTTCGACGCTGGTTGGTTTTTCTGTATACTTTCAAACATTCCGCGACCGCCACCCGCAGCATAGGGACCATTGTGTGACCTCAGCCCCCTGTGTTCTGAGCCTCACCCACCCCCCACCCCCCCACCACCCCCACCGCCCCCCCCCCACCCGACGCACGCACCCTAGACCCCAACCCCCACCCCACCCCAATAGCTCCCATCTTCGCCCCGCTTCCCAACACACACCACCCACTGACACATTCCCCCGTCACCCACACCCCTCGCTCACACCCAACCCCCACCGGACACACACACCCTATACCCCAACCCCCCCCCCCTCCCCCGCCCCACCCCAACGGCTCCCACCTTCACACGCGCACCACACACGCACGCACGCACGCGCGCACCCCCCCCGCCCGTCTCCCAACACACACCCGCTGCGCTGACGCAGACCCCCGTTCCCCCATCACCCGCCCCACCCCCACGTAAACGCCGAGACCCCTACCCCACCGCGCGCCCCCCCCCATCCACACATACACAACCGACATGTTGGGTGGGGGGGGGGGGGGGGATTGTTGTCACTGCTGTTTGTGAAGCGCTTTGAGACGTCTCGAAGACGTGATAAGGCGTCGGGTCAAACGCCAGCATTATTATTATTGTTATAATCTTATTACTATTAGGTGATTAGGTGCCTACGGCCAACCCCCCACCCACCCCCCCCCTCCGCCCCCCCCCCCCCCCCCCCCACCTTCCCCCCACCGGCGACACCACCACTGTCAAGCGCTCTGGGGCGCTACCCTGCGGGAGGGGCGCGGTGTCGAATGCAAGTTGTTGTTGTTGTTGTTGACCAGGCAATTGGGGGGGGGAGGGGGGGGTGGTCTTTGGGGTTGAGTGACGTGGCAGAAGGGAGGGGCGTGGTTTCGATGATGACCGACTTGGAGGCGGGGTTTGGGCGTGACGTGTCACGGTCGGGGCGGGGTTTGAGAGTGAGTGACGTGAGGCGAAGCGGGGCGGGGCTTGAGTGGGGCGGGGGTTGAGAGTGAGTGACGTGAGGCGAGGCGGGGGCGGGCTTGGTTGGGGCGGGGTTGAGAGTGAGTGACGTGAGGCGAGGCGGGGGCGGGGCTTGGGTGGGGGTGGGGTTGAGAGTGAGTGACGTGAGGCGGGGGCGGGGGTTGGGAGTGAGTGACGTGAGCGGGGGCGGGGCTTGGGTGGGGTGGGGGTGAGTTGCGTGACGTAGGCGTGGAGGGGCGTGGCTGGGAGTGATTGACAGGCGGCGGGGGGCCCGAGCCAGAGGGAAGCCGAGGAGCGGGAAGAGGCGGCGTCTGTGTCCCCGACGTGACCGGGCGAGAGGCGCCCTGACCCGGCTGAGCGGTTCAGGCAAGACCGGGGATCCGAAGGTGCAGGTAGGCCTCAGGCTTGGAAATGGGCGGAAATGAAGGGGGAGGGAGAGGGGAAAATGGGGGAAGGGCTCACAGGGACACGGGGTGGGGGGGGTGGGGTGTTTTTTTGGTGGGGGAGAGAATGTTTAATGAATAAAAAAAAATAATTGGCTGAATTGATGAATAGAAAGTGGGAGGAGAGAGGGAGAGAGAGGGAGAGGGTGGGGGGGTCAGTGCACATGGGGGGGTTCAGAGCACATGGGGGGATGGGGGGTTCAGGCACATGGTTCAGCACATGGGGGGGCAGAGCACATGGGGGGTTCAGAGCACATGGGGGTTCAGATATGGGGGGGGGGTTCAGAGCACATGGGGGGGAGAGGAGAGCATCTTTAAAGCGAAAAAAAATAACTAAATTCCATATAATTCCAAATAATTGAGAATTATTGTGGGGGTTTTTTTGTGGGGGGGGGAGGGTCACAGGACACAAGGGGAGGGTGGGGAGTGGGAGGTTTGTGTGTGGTGGGGGGGGGGGGAGGAGGCAGAAAAATATTTCAGCCAGAAATATTAATTGAATGCAAAAATAATAGATGAATCAATCAGTGTTGAGAGATTGGGATTGGGAGAGGGGGTGGGGGGGGAGGCTGACAGCACATGGGGTGGGGGTGGGGGAGTGGGGTGGGGGGTATGTGGACTGAGGCGGAGAGAACAAAATAATTCCAAATCATTCCGGCTTCTCTCTCTGGTCCTTTTTATTGAGAGGTTTAAATAAAATTAAATTTAAATTTAAATAGCGATCGTTTCTCTCTCTCTTTCTCTCTCGCCCCCCACCCCCCCCCCTCGACTCCCAACTACGAACCCCCAACCATCCTGGGGTTCAATCTTAAAACATAATATTCAGCGCTTCTCTTTTTTAAAATTATTTTTAGGGTTGATTGTCCCGTCCCCGTCCCCCCCACTCTGCAGAGAGCGAGCGAGAGAGAGAGAGAGAGAGAAAGAAAACCCCGAATGAATGAGAGACGGAAGAGGAGAGGGAGAAAGAGATGGAAGGAAGGAGCGAGAAGGAAAAGAGATGGAGGGGGGGGGGGGAGTGAGTGGGGAGGGGTGGAGAGCTGGAGACGGAGGGAGAGAAAAAGAGGGGAGAGAGAGAGAGAGAGAGAGAGAGAGAGGGAAAGATAAAGAGAGAGAAGGCAGACACGGGGCTGGTCGATTGGGACAGATCGGCGGACAGCGGCACAGAGAAGGTTCGGGAAAAGAAACTTCTCGGGCGGAATTGATGTTTTCTCATCTTATCTCCACCCCCATAACCCCCCCCCCAAACCCCCAACCCCCCCCCCCCCCGCCCAAGCCTCTCCGTACACCGCGGGGCTTTGATCTAATCCTCGCACTGACCCCCACCCCCCCGGACACACTCACTATTGTTCTCTAAACTGCCGACTGCAAACTTTATTCGGTTGGCCGTGGCTCTGGAACGTTCCAGCGCCCTCGCTCCCTGCTCTCCCCCCCCCCCACCCCCCCACTCCCCACCATGTGCCCCCTAAAGCTCCCCACCCCCCCATGTTTTAATAATCCTACAACAAATCCTCGCATACGATACGGCGCCCCATAAGGTCTTTGAGACGCCTCCTAGCGCTGGGCGCGATGGGCTGCCGCGTCTCACCCGCGAAGCACGCGGTCACTACGCTGTACAAGCGCTGTGAAGCGCTTCGAGGTGTCTCGACGACGCGATCAAATGCAAGGATTATTATTATCTCAGAGCGATTGACGAGGACGCGTGGGGGTGGGGGGGGGGCAAACGAGGTAGAGGGGGTTTATTTCAATAGCGGGGTTCAATCCCGACTCGCTGCTGGTTCTCTGCAGTCCCTCAGTGTATTAATCTTAACCTTTCTTCCCCCCCCCCCCCCCCAGGTTAGTCCCAGTCCCCCACAGTGTGTGCACAGAGCTGAGCTGAACGACAATGGCTGAGATGTCCGCATTGGAGACTATGATGGATATGGGCTTCAGTCGCAACAGAGCGTAAGTTTCTTCTCTCTCTCTCTCTCTCTCTCACTCTCTCCCTCTCGTGGGATGGGTGGGGGCTGCGAGAGACACCTGCGAGCTCTTGCGAGAGGGGTGGGGAGCGTTGGAAAGAGTTTTTTTTTTGTTTTAAAAATGTGTTTTTTCTTTTCTCTCAGGGAAAAGGCTTTGCTCTTGTCAGGGAATCAGGGCATCGAGAAAGCCATGGACTGGTGAGCAAGTGTGAGTGTGTGTGGGGTGGGGGGCGGGGCGAGTGTGAGGGGATGATATGGACTGAGTGTGAGCGAGGCTGACAGTGTGTGAGCTTAAGCGGGGCTGGGTGTGAGCCAGGTTGACTGTGTGTGTGTGTGTGTGTGTGAGTGAGTGAGTGAGCCTGGGCTGACGCGAGTGGAAGTGTGAGCCAGGCTGACAGTGTGTGTGTGTGTCCGTGTGTGAGCCAGGCTCTGTGTGTGCGTGCGTGTGTGTGTGTGCGCGCGCGCGCGCGTGTATGCGAGCCAGGCTGGGTGTGAGCCAGTGTGTGCCGGGCTGACCGTGTGTGTAATGACCAGGCTGATGGAACATGAGGATGACCCCAACCTGGATGAGCCTTACCTGCCCCCCGAGGGCTGTGTTCTGCCCCCACCGCCCGAGAAACCCATCGGGGAGCCCGCAGAGCTGACACTGGAGGGTAAGGCTGTCACTCTCTTTCTCTCTCTCTCTCTCTGTCCACAATCTGCTTGTTACCAGCACTATTAACAATGTCTCTGTCTCTCTCTCTGGCTCTCTCTCTGGGTGTCTCTGGCTGGCAGAGGGCACAGAACAGATTAAGCAGAACGCCTCCCTGTCAGAGGAGGAGAAGAAGGAGCAGCTTCGAAGGTGAGACCCAGGCTCTGTGGCCTTTGCCTATCACCACAATTACACCACCTGTCTGTGTCTCTGTGTGTCTCTCTGTCTCTGTGTGTCTCTCTGTCTCTGTGTGTCTGATTGTCTTCATGTCTCTATGTGTCTGGTCTGTGTGTTTGTGTGCCTATATCTCTCTTGGTGTCTGATCTCTCTGTGTCTATCCCTGGCTGGAGGAGCTGATCTCGTTCTCTCTGTTTGATCTCTGTGTGTGTGTGTGTGTGTCTGTGTCTGATCTGTGCGTCTTTCAGGCTGGAAGAGCTGATGAAGCAGCGGCAGCAGGAGCGAGAGGAGAGAGAGAAGAAGGATGAGATAGAGAGAGAGAAGGCGAGGAGGCGGCAGGGTCAGGAGCTGGCGATGATCCGGCAGCGACTGCAGGAGGAGGAGATGAGGAAAGTGGCTGAAGACCGGCGTCGCGAGAAACTCGAGGACATTAGGGCCAGGTACACCACGCTCACACCAGCAACTGGTAACTGGTAACGGCAGTCGGTCACCGGCAATGCCGGGTGGTCAAACACGAGCAATTCCGGTTATTGTGGTCAGTGTGTATGTGAGAGTCCGTGGGTCAGAGTGTGTGTGTGTGTGTGTGTGTGTGAGACAGTGTCTTGTATGTGTGACGCAGTTCCTGTCACTTGTGTGTGTGTGTGTGTGAGAGAGAGTGCCTGTTTATCTGTGTATGTTTGTATGTGTGTGGGAGAGACAGCGCTCGCGCGCGTGTGTGTGCGTGCGTGTGAAAGATCAGAACCTAATGGATTTACTTCCTGTGTTTCAGGCAGAGAGTTCGGGAAAAAATTGAGCGAGACAAAGCAGAGCGGGCGCTGAAGGTGAGCCCTGAGAGGTTTTTTTGTGTCCTTTGGTTGATTAATAATTAATAATAAACCTTGCATTTGATATAGCGGGTCGTTGAGACGCCTCAAAGCACTAGAATATACTGTCGAGTGTAGTGACTGTATTTGTGGGTGAAACCCGGCAGCCAATTGCGCACAGCAGTGTCCCACAAACAGCCGTGTGTGTGTGTGCAGTAAGGAAACTTGACCAGACCCGGCCGGGAATCGAACCTGGGTCCTCTCGTGTGCGGTGTAGTGACCGTGTCCTGTGTTGTTGGTAACCCCCGGTGACTCTGCCCTCTGTCTCTACAGTTTGGAGGGGGTGTGGCTGCCGCTAGCCCCCCTGTGCCGGTCATAGAACCCATCCCTCCGTCTCCACAGAGCCAGTCCACCAAGAGGGAGTACGAGGAGTGCAGGTTACAGGTCAGTGTCCACGGGTCTGAACCTCCCACAGCCACTAACTGCTCTTCTTGGTGCTTAAAGGGTTAAATTACGAGGAACAGGAGGGGGGGGGCCATTCAGCCCCTCGAGCCTGTTCCATAAGGTCACGGCTGACCTGTTCCTCAACTCCAATTGCCCTCCCATTGCCCCGTGTCCCTTGATACCCTGACCTAACAGACATCTCCTGCTCCTACAGAGGGGAGAGGGTGAAGAGGGATTCCCTCGAGTTGGGGAGGGGTGAAATTGGGTTGCCAGGGGGATTTGGAGGGTCTAGCCTGTGTGTGGGGGGGCTTAAGGGGGTAGGGTTAAGTTTTTACGTGTGTGGGGGGGGTGTTTAGGATGTATATAGGGTGGGGGCGAGGGTTATCTGAGTGTGTGTCTCTACGTGTGGTGTGTGTGGCAGGAGGGTTACAGACTGAGAAGGAGCTGACACTGACTGAGTGCCTGAACCCCCCCCACCCGCAACCCCACCCACCACCCCCAAACGCACAGATCCGGCTCCTGGATGGCTCGCAGATCACACAGACGTTCCGCACCTGGGAGCAGCTGGCTGCGGTGAGGCTGTACGTGGAGCTAAACCAGAAAGGGGCAGTGCTGGAGCCCTTCAACCTCATGACCTCCTTCCCTCGTAAAGTCTTCACCGAGGAGGACATGGAGAAACCTCTACAGGAGTTAGGTAATACGGATAACCTTTTCATTTTGACATAGGGCCCTATCACGCCTTTTGAGACGTCTCACCAAGCGCTTCAGGGATGTACTGTAAAGTGCAGTCGCGGCGTAGTTTGTGGG